TGCGGGGGTCGGACCGCTGGGCTCGAGGGCCGCTTCCCAGGCCGCTGGGCCTGACCCTCCGGCCTCCCTGTCCACCCCATCCTCCGAGCGGATTCTTCCTTTCTTGCGCGCCATCCAGCCTTCAGCGCAACTGGCCACAGCTTCAAACAGACCCCGGCACAGGCGGTGCTGCTGCTGCTGTTATTATTATTAATTAATGAAATACGTTATGTTTTAACATAGAAAACTGGGATGGCAATGCACTTAACATGAGTATTTCATAAAGGACCTAACTCACCGAGCCTGAAAGGCTTTAATTACAGAACTATGGGCTAAAGAGTGAAAAATGATTTCAGTCACACTGCCATTTTACCAGAGAGCGGGTCAAAGAAATGCATCAGGACGGCGGGTTGTTACACGGCCCGTTAGAAAACATGTGGGGATTGCTGTGGAATCTGTCCAGTTAGATGAAGCTGGGCGGGGGGGACTTACCACAACACTGAACACTGTCCATTGTGACTCGCCTTATATAAAAATATAATGAAATGCAATTCATTGAGAAAATGTGGAAGACTATTCATCAAAACGTAAATACCTCTACCCCCGACCTCTGGGAGTAATTTTTATTTTTTCTCTTGCTTCACTATATTTTTCTGAATTTTTGGCAATGAATAAATATTACTTTGGAGTTAAAAATTAAGCGGCGGTTTCCTTCTGATTTCTCCTACTGCCAGCATGCTTTCAACACCATACACAGTTCATTCAACGTAAATTTTCTGAGCACCTTCCATGGACCAGCAGGCACTGTGGGTATAATAAATACAGTGAAAAAGAGAAGACCCTCATACCATCAGTGGTTAACACCCACCAGTAAATATCTGTCTTGAAGAGTTCTGATTCCTTCCACGCAGCAAATGTGTCTTTTTCTTCTTACATTTAAAATTATCGAATAATGAAATAACAACTAAAAATGTAGAGCAAGCTGTTGATATCCTCAGGGGGTATTTTTTCATATTCACCTCGCAAGAGCTGTGAGGGCCGAACAGTGAGGGGACTGAGGTGAGAGAGGTGAAGGATTTCGTTCAAGGTCACGTCTTCCATGGAAAAGGCAGGTTGGAGTTGGGTCAAAGTGCAGCTCTGGCAGACTTGAGAGACCTGCATTTTCCTTCCGTCTCAGCACCTCCAGGCTGTGTGTGTGCGCACGCGCATGTACACGTGCATGCACGTCTGTGGGTATGCGTGCTTGTGTGCCTGGGTGTGCACATACATCCAAATACAGCTTATTTCCCCCTCACTTTCACAGCCGCCAAAATAAGAAAAAGAAGGAAGGAATTATGGAAAGCAGTCTGGGCTTCCACCTCCAGCCTCCTCTCCTCCTGCTTCTGTGCCCTTTAGTGAGAGAGGAAGAGGGACTTCGGGCTGCAGATCTGAGTTCTTCTCTGCTGGTTACTCCCAGCAGCCTCTGTTGTTTGCATAGTTCCCTCACCTTTCCCTGTACTTCCCTCGCTAGGAGCCTAGGAGCGAGTTTTCCTCTCCTGGACCAAGGAGGGAGCCGGGGCGGGAGCGACGCCCTCTGTGGACTCAGAGTGCCCCAGCCTGAAGTCACACAGCCGGGCTGGAGGGGGGCCTGGATTCGAGGGGAAGGCAGCTCCGCAGGCTTGGGCCTCAGGAAGGCTCCCCAGATCGGCAGGGGCACCTTCTCCACTCACCTCATGGTCTTGCTAAATCCTCATAAAGGAAATGAAACCAAAAAAAAAAAAAAAAAAA